TWTTTTTTWTWWTTTTTWTTTTTTAATTTTGAAACAGAGTCTTGCTAAGTTGCTGAGGCTAGCTTTGAACTTGTAATCTTTCTGTCTCAGCTTCCCCAGCCACTGGGATTACAGGCTCATGCCACCAGTCAGGGCTTGGATACTCCTGTTTTCTGCAATCGATAAGGCAGAAACCTCCTTTCCCACTGAATTTGCCCTACCCCACCCAGCTTATGTAGAAACAAGTGTCTTATGGGAAGAGTAGGTAAAGACCTCAGCAAAACCAGCAATGATACTTCTCCAAGTTTGGTTCCCAGCCTCTGTGAGTGACAAGGTCCCCCACCAGGGGAAGCAAGGAGAAAAGGATAGGACCCCTGAATCTGAAGAAGAAAGGAGCAATACCTAACTGGGGGTTGATGGTAGAGGATTTTGAGATCAAATACTTTAATACGAATAATTCCCAGTAAGAAGTCTACATGTTAGCATTCTTAATTTGTTTATTGTTTTTATTTATTTATTTAGCTAACTTTATTAAAATGCTAGTAAAGACTGCACACAGGAGAGTGCAAGCAAGCCCAGGGCAATCCGGACTTATTTATTAAGTCCAGCCCCAGGAAAGCAAGAGAGGCAGGACTGAGGCAGAAGGAGGCAAAAGAGATAGACCTGCCCATTCTCCCATCGGGCACACACACCAGCTCAAACGCCCTACCTCTGGCCTCTGGTCTCTTGTTTCCCCATTCTGAGTGGCCCCAGGGTAGAGATAAGGACAAGAAACATGGCTGTGGTAGGTCAAGGTCTTTTCTGTACCCTTTGCTCTCGTTTCATTCCTGGTCCTTCTGCCAGATTTCCACTCAGTTGCCCCACTTCCCTTTTATTTAGTGCCCTGCTAACTCCTTACTAGCCTCTTTTGAAAGTAGGTTTTACAATGAGAAAGTGCTGCCACTTCTGGCCACAGCCCAGGGTGCAGCTCAAGCCCACCTATTCTTCTCTGTCCCTCCTGTCCCATCCCCACCCCATTCCACTCAGCCTCAGCTCCTGGCTCAAAGCTCCMAAAAAAATCTCAACCTGGCTCCTGGTACCCCAAACAGCCCTGTMACCCCAACTGTGGTGACATGAGCTGTGCAGCTGTCATCATGGAAAGCCTTGGTCTTTAGTCTTTGTGGGCAATGTCCATCTAATAGGGTCTCAATTCTGAGTACCCAACGAGTGGGTGACCACGATGGCTAATGCATGCCTTTCCAGAAACTCTCCAAGGACTGACCCTGTGGGCGGGTCTCCTCTACCCTCAGCCTCTGGGGAGGTTCCCATCGGGGCCAGTTTCTCCATCGTCATCCTAGCTGGAAAAGGCTGTTGGGCCACTTGGAGCTGGTGTTTCTGGTTTGTCTGGCTTTGTTTTCATCAGATTTCTCTGTCCTCTCCATCAGAAACGCCCAAGCGTTTCTCATTTGCTCCGTGGTAGCCCAAATGCTCATCTTGCTTGTGTTGGTCTCTGTGCTGTGAGCCTACTTTCCCTGCCGGGACGAGCTGGCCGCTGTGGAAGGACATTGGCACCTGGACAGGCTCAAATTCTCCTTCGGTCTTCTACAAAAGCAAAGAGTCTGTTTTTCTGGGGTCTTTGATCTTCTCTGGCCCCCCTGAATCCTATACAGGGTCACCCTAGTTAGGAAGTTCCACTCTAGTGAAGACCAGCCCCACCCCACAGGTTAATTGACAACGCGGCGGCTGCTTCTTGTCCCTGGCGAGGGATAATCAGGAATTGGCTACCTGTGGGCCCAGTGACAGAACCAGCCTTTCCTCAGACTCCTGTCACGAGGGTTCTTTTCTGTCTTGTCAGTGTGTTTAGAGGAGTGTGTGCCCTGAGACCTGGGAGAAGGACCTAGCTCTGTGRAAAGAGTCTGGTGACTCATGCCCATCTCCATCCACACCTTCCCTGAAACCTCGCCAACGAGGCAGACATCTCTCCCTGGTCACAGAGTGTCCCTGGGAGGAATAAGGGGGTCTCTGTGACTGAAGACCCTGCAGAAGGAGGTTGCTATGACCTGCCTACCCACCTAGAACTGGCCCCCAAGTGTTACTCTGTCCCTGAGTGAGTCAGGGTGTCAGGTACTTTTATTTCCAGATGGTGTGCTTGTCTACAAGGCTCTCTTTAGGCTGTCTCCCTAAAGCTTCACCCTAATTTTATTTGATCCAAAGCCAAATATCCCTGCCACCAGGAACGCACATCACAACCAAATTCCACAGGACCTTCCCTTCCATACCACTTCCTCCAGAGAAATCAGCACCACCAGTGCTATTGGCCTGCTCTGTGCTGCCTCTCTGACACACGGGATTGTTCATTTCAGCCCTGGGTCTTAGTTCCCCTTCTCAGAAGTACCATTTCCTACCTGCAATGCAGACTCTTTATTACCCTTTGCTCAGAGATCTGCTTGGAGCAACCATATTGGGGAGATGCCCAGCTTGCCCTCCATGCCTCTTGTATCCATCCAGGCTCCTAGGGGGCAGCCTTGGGCCAGCTCCATAGAGAGCGTGGTGAAGGTGGCTTTTTGTGTTTGTGTTGGGTTGTGTGTCTCAGCATGAACCTCTGCCCAAGGAAGGTTCTGCTCCTTCTGCCTTCTTGGAAGTTGCCCTTACCTAACCATAGGCCATGGCTGGGCGTCACTCTGGGGTTGTTTTCTCAGGACCCAAGCTGAGATGAGAGATGATAAAGGGTATTTATGCTTTAGCTTGTTTCAGTGGCAAAACATGCTAATTAAACTTCAAATGAACTAATTCTTTTTTCTTTACCATGTACCTTGGCTTGAAGTTGGGGTTTTAGTCAGAATTTCTGGTGGCCTGTTACAACACATGCAAAAATGCCGAGTATTCCCCAGTGTTTGGAGGCAATTGTTGTTTGTTTCCATGGATCCCGTCCTGTGCTCCGCTCATTGGCAGAAAATTTTTAAAAATCCAAATTCCTTCCCCTGTACCAAATTATATAAATCAGTATGCCCATTGTTTTGGGTTTAAAAATCTGAGAAGTACTTCTGTGACGAGGTGGGACTTCTGGCAAGGTGTAAGATGTTTGAASAAAATGAAACAGAGAAATATTATTAGATATCTATTCAAAGTTCTATATCGGCGTATGCCACGCATAACATAACACGTTATGTATGTTTGTACACATACGTATAGACAAGCACACACACACATGCATGCATACACATCACTGTATACACACATGTATGCACACACACTCAGCATGTATGAATACACACACCCACACATGTAGACACACCTATAGCCATATAAACATGTATTCCCACACACATACACAGCACACATGCACACACACATATATATATAACACACTCCCCCACATGTTCACACACCCTTGCTATGAASATATATATATGAGTACACACATATGCTTGCACACGTACACACACCTTGCAGTATGTGTTGTGGCAGGAGCCCAGCCTGGCCCCTGCTGCTGGCTGGTGTATGGTGCTAGACAAATCAGTGCCTCTCTCTGGGTCTCTGCAACTGTCAGAGGGTGGCTTAGATCATGTCAGAAGAGCTTTGTGATGGCAAATCTCTTTGGAAGCAGATTTCCTAACTTCCTACCTCTGCAAACCCTTTGCCCAAGCTGCCTGCAGAAAGCTCCTTCCCTCAAAGCACAGTGCTCTTTGAGTTTCTCTTGCAAACATCCTAATATCCAGAAATAAAGTTCTAATCCACTATTCTCAAACTTGGTTACACATTGGAATTACCTGGGAATTAAAAAATGCAAATGCCTGGATCTGGCTCCCAGAGGAAGACAGGGTGGGAGGCAGCACTTTAAACTCCCAGGTGATTCTGTTGTGTGGCAAATGTCAGGAACCAGTGTTGTAGTCCCCAACCTTCAGTCACTCTTGAGCCTGACACAAGGGATTGCCCCTGTACCCTAACATAACACCTCTCTCTCTCTGTCTCTCACGCATGCATGTGCACGCACACATCTAATATAGTAGTTGCTGGTGATGGGTTTTTGCTCTGACCTCCACTAGGAAGCCA